GAAAAATATCACCCAAATCATGAAATAAATCAAAAGATATTGATATTCACACCTAATATTGAATTCTTCAAAATCTTGATGTAATTAACTTTCAATTCCTTGCTATGACATGATCTCATCTTTCAAAATATAGAAATTGACCTCTTGTTCTCGATGAATTTGATGAAACTCTTGTGTATGAAGAGGTAAGAGAGGTTTTTTATGAGTAGCCCTCTTTCTCTATTTATAAGAGTTAGAAAAGAGGTCAAAATCGCGTCCAATTTGATTTCTAAAAGAGTTTGAATCGTAAAAGAAACTAAAGATTTCTCTGCGAAAAAGGCTTGTGTACGCGCACCGGTATAACTCCCATGCACGCCCTTAGAACCAAATGGCTCTCGAGTTGGGGAAAATAGTGTCGTGCGCACGCGCCATGAATTGCCCCGCTCCCGCGTAGATTCGTCTCTAAGCATCTTTCAATATTTTGGTTATAACGTTCTCCATAAGTATCCAATTGGATTGATTCAAAATGGGTTGAAAAGGTAATTCAAAGGGTTACAATTATTATAGAAATACAATCTTTCCAATTCGATCGATTTCTATCCGAAAAATGGGTCTCAAATTAAGGCTAAAAATTTAGAGCATAACTTCTTCAGCTGGAAATTGATTTGATAAAATACTTCCACTATATTTCTCTCATTTGACCTCCAATTGCATCCAATTGATCCTATATGATCTTTAATTATCATTTTGTGGTCCGAATCATCTATTTAATGTTTACACTTTGGTTCCCAAACTTTGGATTTCCTTCGTTTTCGCACGTTTTTCGTTCCTTTCTTTCAAATCCACCAAATTGCATTGAGATCAACTGAGTGAGATTATCAAATATTCAATCAATAGGGTCAGCATATCGTTTGCATATTGTTGGTTATTTTGATTCGTTATTTTCGAATCAAATCCTAAACTTTGATTACTTTGACTTTCTTAGGTTCGATTTCAATCTAATTGTGGGTTTCGTATTTCTTCGCTACGTGGGTTCACATCATTCACCCCATAAGTTAGATGGCAACTTAGCATGTGATAACATGACATTTATTATTTCAACTAGTGTCCTATTATTTCTCTATGTCAAATCATTTTGTTCGGGTGTTCTAGGTGTACTATATTGATGTATTATGTCATGTTGTTCACAAAAAATATTAAATTCACTAGAGAAGTATTCACCTCCCCTATAACTTGTAAGAATTTTAATCTTTCGATTTAATTGATTTTCTAATTCGGCTTTATATATCTTAAACATGTTAAAGGCTTTATCCTTATGTTTCATCAAGTAGATATAACAAAACTTAGAATGATCATCTATGAATGTTATGAAGTATCTATTACGCCCTCTAGTTAACATTCCATTTAATTCACATATATCGGAATGAATTAAGTATAGCAAATTAGATTTTCTTTCAAAACTATGAACATGTTTCTTAATCATTTTAGACTAACAAATAATTCAAATTTATTATGTTTTATGTTTTCACATGAAATCATTTCTGTTTTAATAATTATTTTTAAAACAAAAAGGCCAGCATGCCCTAATCTATCATGCCATAAAGAAATAGATTCAACAGCATAATCTAAATTTATAGTTTTATTGTTATTATTGTCAATAGTACAAAGTTTGACCATTTCATCACTAAAATAACATTTTCCCAACAAATATACCATTTCGGCAATTATAAGTTTGCCAGACTTGTATGTGGATTTAATTCCCGATTTGCCCAACAAATTACTACTTACAAGATTTCTATTCATATCTAGTACATGTAATACACTTATTGGTGTGATCTATTTGTCGAACGTGAATTGTAAATCTATGCTTTCTTTGCCAACTACTTTTGATTAAACTTCATTCTCCATTTGAATGTGTTCGTCATCTATTTCTTGATAGATTTTTAAAATGGATCTATCATAACACACATGTATGGTGGCACAAGTATCATACCACCATCCTTAAACCTTTCCTTTGATCGAATTCATAATGATCACGGTAGTAATGTTGTTGTCAACAGAGTTCACTTTACCTTCTTGCGTTGTTTGTTTGCGATTCCTACAATCCCAAGCATAATGTCCGAGTTTGCCACGCATATAACAAGAAATTTTGAATTTCTTTTTGTTATCTTTGTTGGGGTTTGATGATTTCCTCTTCATGGAATCCTTGTTGTATTTGTTTGGTTGATCCACGATATGGGCTTTGGAAGTGCCCTCATGAAAATGTTCATTCCCATCTAGTGTCCTTAACTCTTCCTCTATATGACGATGCTTTTGAATCTCTTCCAAAGAATAATCTTGAGAACTGTGAATAATTTTCTTCCTATAACTCTTCCATGAAGATGGCAATTTCGCAACGATTCCACCAACTTGAAAGGTTTCGGGAAAATTAATCTTCATAGCTTTCATTTTATTGACAATAACTCGTAATTCATGTACTTGTCCTAACAACAGACGTTATCTAAAAATTTGAAATCAAAATATTTAGAAATCAGAAAATTTTTGGTATCTTCCTCCTCGACCTTGTATTGGTTTCCAACAATGCTCATATCTCCTTTGTCGAAGTGTGATTTGTATAAAGATCATTGAGGCGATTAGATAGAGTGTTCAGAATATGTCTTCTACATATCAATTCATCGTCTTCCTTTCCGCCCTTGTTTCATCGGCGTCATTTGTGGTTGGTTCCAGCAATGGCGTCGTCCGAATCCAAGATATAAATAATTTTCGAGGTTGTAAGAAGAAACTTTGATCTGTCTTCTCATCTTGTAAAGTTTGACCTGGCGAATTTGTCAAGTCTCACAAGGTCTTGATTCATCAACTTTGTGGTTGTCTCATTCTCTGTTGAAATTATCGTTTGAGATTGTTGAGAAAAGTTGATGAATGAACAAGAAAATCGGTAACAAGAATTTCGCCAAAATGGAAAGTTTGTACACGATTATGAATCGTGTCCTCAAACAATATTTGCCGCCAGCGGGAAAAGTGCTTGAAAGCTTGAATAGCAAATAGATTGTAGGAGTAAACAAACTTTAATCCAAGTTAGAATCAAGCAAAACCAAACTTGGAAATGAACTTTTAGAACAAATATATAAAACTTGATTTAATCTTACAATTTGGATATAGGTGTATCAATTTGATGTTTGTGATATGTTTTCTAACATAAAAGATATCCCTATTTATAGAACATCAATCATCATGAAAGGAAATGTGCCCAAAAAAAAAAAAAAAAGAAGAAGCAAAAACGGTGCAAAGTTTGATAAAAAGACAACATAATTCAAAGCCCCAATGGGTATATTTTTGTACTGGGCCGCCGTTTGCTTGTTAATAAAATTTGTCCATGTAATTGCAACACAAGGCCAGATGACCGCCCTGCCTTAAGCTTGGGCGGTCGTTCAGGCCATTTTTCAACCTTCATCCTTTTTGTTCTCATATTTTTTTTTATTTGTTTGTTTTTCTCATGGTTGACTACTTTCATAACTTTCAGAATCACTATTCATTATTAGTTTGAACAATATCCAACATGATGGTCAAAGTTTAGTGATACTTTAGATTAAAAAATCAACCGTCTCTAAATATTTATCGAATCGAACGTGTTAAATTTGAATAGTGATATTATTTGAAAGCCCCTTTTCAAACAATGTACGCAATTAGGCAATATACAGAACTACGTGTCTCGGAACAATTGATTCTTACAATAATCTTGCAACAACATAGATGTTTATAACCTTACTACGTAGACTCGTGTGACAAAAATGGTTCGGCTCGCCCCGAAGGCGAGTTATGTGCTATGAATTTTACTGTGAGAGCTGCTCGCTAGCTCGCACAGGCCAGCTTGTAGGCTTGCATAACTCAATCGGGATCCAAGAAAAAAAATTAATTTTAAACGAAAAAAGTGAGTACAATATCTAATGATGTAAAAATTAAAACTTCAATGCTAATTCCGTATGAAAATTTAGTTCATCGACTAAAATAGAGCACACGTGAATTCCGTTCCTAAACAAATTTTTATATTGTGATAATTGGCGAACATTTTTGTTTTCGATTGGAAAAGAATTATACTTGGCTTTAGAGTAGGAAGTTTGATTAAGGTAGAATATAGTGATGTCGATGTAGGTGCATCATAAATCACATATCAGCCATTCACTTGAGAATAAGCTAGCCAATAAAGCAATGTGCAGAGAATGATTAGACTTGAAATCAACTTTGATTTTTCTTTCTTTGGTCGTGCATTTTTCATGGTCTTTATCTTAGGTGCTGTTCAATTGTATTTCTGCTCAACGTGAAAAAGACATAGTAGGTCATTGAACTTCAATTTAATGTGATTAGACCACCATNCAATTGTATTTCTGCTCAACGTGAAAAGACGTAGTACTACTCTTTATGTTGTAACAAGGCCCTTTCCTTTTTTGCAAACATTGAAGCAACCATGTGGTCTTTTTTATGATGACAGTCATTGAAGCAAGAGATCGACCTGTGCTTTTCAATAAGCCGCCCTTGACCTAGTTGAGGCACCCCTTCTCCCATGTTTAATTAAGAATGGGCGAGTTTTATTTACCTTTCTTTTGTTTAACATTCGGATCCCACTGTGTAAATCGATTTTGACCAATCAAAGCTTGTGAAAGTAATTGGAGCATTTTGTAATGGCCATCCATTTACAATGAAGGAAATAATGTCGATTTGGGGTGGTGTGCCAAGTCTCCAGAACCCCGCTTCTTAAAATAATGATAAGGTTACTACATTAAAAGTGACAACAAATCCCTCAGGAACATCTCAAAGGGACCCAAAGCAGATCACAGAATACATAAGACCAAAGTCATCAACCCATACTCCAGGATTCAACAGCTAATGAATGTGATTAGTACAGAGGCAAATTTGATTGATGCAAAGCCAAAACCAAATTAATAATAACCATCCAAGACTGTTGGAAAATTCATGAAACTACAGCTAAGGTCTCCTACATCTTTGTAGCACAAGGATTGCATGCACTATGGGCATTTCCTTTGAATATACGAAGCTCCATGTTCTTCAAACCTAGTATAAAAGAGAATGCAAGTTTCATGAGACGAATGATAGAACATTGAAATTTTAAAAAGCAAAGTCGACTGTAAGTTAAGATGTGAGAGGATAATGACTGCTTACTCGGACTTCGAGAACCACATTTGCTGAAAAGAACCAAGTGATGCCAATATACTCCCTCCAATCCAAACACTGCAATACATACCGTTATTCAGTAGCATTGACTGACAAGAGTTTTGTTTTTATAACCATTCTTTGAACTTCTGCCGGGGGGTGGGATGGGATGATCTAATTCGATTCTTTTCAAGAAAACCCGATTGGAAATCTATTTCCCTTAGAGCACACGTCTAAGATGGTGTTATTCCAACAGTGCCCTTAAAATCGTAATAAATTTCACATTTTGATTGTACTTTGTTAACATCATTTCAAGGAATTGAGGAGCTGACAACTTGAGTTGTCAAATTTGGAAGTATCCTTGGGAGACAGTAACGTTTAGTTTAGACCACGTGAAAATGTAATTCTCTAATTACAAATATAGTGTGCTTCTCTAGCAAGAAAGTCTATTTTCTATCCATGAAAGCAGTCCCTAGTTGTCTTCATATTCTTCAGAAGATATCTTTCTTTCAATTTTAAAACTGACATTGTTTAGCTTAAACACTATGGCAGACCAAAATTTCTTATTTCTCTTGATGGGACTTTTTGGAAACATTTTTTCTAGGAATGTCGCAGACCAAGATACTGCAAACCGCACCCATCACCACGTTCTGCAAATTTGTGACTAAGGTCATTAGTTTCTTTTAGCTTTCGAGTTACGAAACTATTTCTTATGTTGAACGAAAATAAAGTTAATAGCCTAGGACAGAATTGCATAAAAATTCACTCAAGTGTGTAATACGCACAGGAGATGGCTTTTGAGAAAGTTTAATGAGCTTTGAAGTCTGAAATAATATTAAAGTAGTAGATGTATTTGGAGCAAGGAGATGGGATGGCAGTAAGCCAATTATATCTACTAACCTGAATCTCCTTTCAGTAGCATTTCCGCTTGCCAGCACTTTAACTCTTGCTGCTTGAGGAGATTCCTGGAAGAATATGGAAACACTCAAATCATGCCATTCTATCAATCACACATGCAATAAATAAAAGCAATTTCGATTTCCAACAATGTTTACCACCATCATCGCTACATGGATAACTTCATGAAAGAAATGCCATTTTAGACTTCAAGACTTGGAAGTTTTTTTGTGTTCCAACGAGAGCTCGCTTAATAACTTTAGAAGTGAACAAAAGTTAATACATTTCATTCTCTCAAAAGGTAATTAGGTCGTTATGCAAGAATTGAAAGATCATTCCTTATGGAGGTGTAACAAGTGAGAGCCTAACAATGCCACATAGGTTAGTGATGCTTGATGCAAGAATTGTAAGGTTTTTCTTGGTGAGAGTGTAACCAGCATAGATCAGTGACTCTCAATGTAGTGATTAAGAGGAGGAAAAGAAATGTCGAAGAAGTTAAAGTTCGTGATATATGACGGCAGAACCTCTAGGGTGCAGGGTATAATACAAATGACTGCTACTGATGGAGTTTTGAAGGGAGAAAAACAAAGATAGGATGAGATAGTAACTTCTTGGGGAATGAGGTTGCTAGTTGCATTAGAAACCTAGCGAAAGAGGTTTAGGAGAATCTAATGCTCAAGAGCCCACTTCAATAAGAAAATGCATGAGGGGAATGAGAAGGTTCAAATGGTTAGTACAGGAAAATGCTTAAGAAATTTATCAAAATGTAAAAACGAGTATAATGTTAAGCATAAATTAGCTAGAGGAGAAGCCAAGAGTGATTCGAGAGTTTAAGAACAATATAAGAAGCGTAGTTTAACAACCAACGATAGGGAGAATCTGTTAACATATCTCAACAAAGAGAAAAATGATGAAAATATGGAACCAAATTCAGTGCGTTACAAACTTTTGTTTCATATTGATCAGTTGATAGAAAGATGAAGAATTATTTCAGCAAACTTGCTAATGATAGGTATAGCTTGGACTTACACACCTGTCAAACTCTACGGAAAAATTATGCTTAAATAAAAAATGGTGCTAATGAGATTCCAATTGGAGTACTGAGGACTGAGGAGTCTAGGTGAAATGGGTATCCACGGTTGATGAAATAATTCAGGAAATTTTCAAAACTAATTTTTTTTTTTAATAACCTCTATTTATTTATTTTTAAAAAAACCCCCTAATTTGCAATCACCTGATTTGGGTTTTGCCGATGACGTTATTATTTTCTCAACTGGTTACAAAAACCTTTACGGTTATGAACTTCCTTTCTACATGTGAAATGATCTCAGGGCAGAAAGTAAATAAAAATTAAAGTGTCTTCATCCTGATAAAAATCGTCTCCTCCAAACGGTTCGTAGAATTTAGTCTCTCATTGATTTAAACATCAACAGATGTAATCACATTTTTAGGTGTTCCTATGTATATAAAGGTGTTAAAAGAAGGGAATCCTCTATGATGACTAAACAAGATTAGAGGGAAAATAACTGGCTGGGTAAACAAATTGTGTCTGCAGGAGCAAAAATTACTCTCGTCCAATCTGTGTCTTGTCCGTGCAAATCTACCTTCTACAGACACTCAAGCCTCCCAAGATTATTGAAAAGTTGAGAGCATATTTGCAAAGATCTTATGGAATGATGCTGATAGGAAATTACGAATATAACATGCATTGGACCCGAGGGAAGAGAGTCTGTCTAACATACGGAGGAGTATCGGGATTTCGTCGTCTCTCATATCTAACTGAAGTCTTTCTATTGAAGCTATAGTGGAGACTTAAGGAAATTTATCGTCTCTGGTCCTTATTTCTCGATTAATATTGCAGAAGGACCATTTCTTATATGCCTCAAATAAAATGAATCCTCATACTAGAATGCATAAAGTGGTTTCCTTGGGAACTGAAAATTTCATGGAAATTGGGAAATGCAAACATCCGTTTTTGGCATGATTTCTGGATGAAGATGGATTCTTTGGCCAAGTGCCAAAGAATGCATCTTCATCATATCATCAGTGTCAAGTAAAGGAGTTTTGCATTAATGGCACATGAAATAAACAAATGCTGCTTAACACATTGCCTGAGGATCTTGTTCATCATACCATCAGTGTCAGTGTACAATCCTATCAATAGAAGAAAACGGAGAAGGAATATAAAATCCTATTACTAAAAGGAAAAATATGATATCCTAACTACTCTAGGATATAAACCAGAAGGCAGAAGGAAATATATCCATGATCTCATATTCTAGCTTTCATATTCCAACTCTCCCCCTCAAGTTGGTACATCAATATATGCCCAACTTGGATGGTGATGTATAGAATGGTCCACTCATTTGCTCGACTCTGACTGCAACTCTCAATTAGTAAAACATCCCCCCTCTTTACCAGTTCCAATCGTCATCTTGGTTAAATTTTCCTAAAGAGTTCCTTGAGATAAATGAGTAGCAGGAAATGGCGAGGCATCAACAGTAGCAACCTGAGCAGATTTCTTCTTCTTTTCAGCTTGCTTAGTTTTTGAACCACTCCAAATAATCTTGTAGTTTCCTGTAAACATCAACTGTGTGTGTAGTGCCATGACGGTGGGTGCAGGGCCTGGTAGAAGGGGCCGAAATAGCTAAACGTGAATTATTCTTCTGGACAGCAAAAACTGAAACCTTATAGACGACCTCTGTACTCATAGTAACTTGCCTTTGTACTTCACGGCGGACCAGTGAGTAGGTCTCTTCTGAACTTGGGAGAGGAGAGGTAGCCAAAACACAACTACTAACTTGATCTAAGTTGCGGTCGAGACATGCAAGAACCATGTATACCCAATCTTCTGTAATTATGCTCTCTGCTTCTCAATATTGGCTGCACAAGTCATATCACTAGGCTTCCAGTTATTGAATTCCATAAATATAGAGTCAAGTTCATTGTAGTATTCAACAAGAGGCAGACCACCTTGATGCAATTGGAATGACTTTATAAAAACATCAAGATAGCTCCTTTCTGCTACATCTACACTTCTTTACCAGTGCCACACAGTGGAATTTATAAGCCAAGATTTCGACTAAAGTGTATTTCACCTCCCATTTATCATAATTCGAACCATTCTTTAGAGGTGGAACCTTCCTTGATATAGCCTTTTTTTCTTTGACCCACAATATGCATCTCCAGAATTTAAACCACACGGTTTTTAGCCCATCCAATTTAATATGAATAGGTGAGCTAGTGTTGTGAATAGTCAGAGAAGAAACATTCTTGTTGTAAGAAAGGGACTTTTAACACCTATGATGCACTATACAGACACGTGTGTCTGACATAACACGACAAGTGTTGTATATGCCAATACATGATTTTTAAAAAAAGTACTAAAACGACATATCACTGACAAGTTGATTAAATTCTTTAAAATTCTTCATTTATATAGTATAAATTTAGTTTTATACTTGTCATTACTTTTTCTTGTCGAAATATTTTAAATATGAGTACATATTTACCATTTACTAATAATTTTGAGTTAGAAATACGTATTATTTTTAGTGAAAAAAGAAAAATGATAATAGTAGAGTGTCCAACGAGTGTCGGTATTCGACACTGTTGATCATGAACATGCTACCCTAGACATTGATAGAAACACAACGGAAAATTTGAAAGGAATCGGTAAAGATCCCTAGATTTAAAGACTATTAATCAATAAAAATACATTAAAATTAAAATTGAGCTCAAACAAGGGCTGAGTTTTTTTTTGGAGAAAATGAGTTTTAGATTAGTAGTTTTTTTTTTTTAAATGTATAGTTAAAAAGTAGGAAAAAATTTTGGGTTTACTTGCAGAATATTTTATTGTGAAAATGTATAGTTGAAAATGAGTTTGAGAAAAAAGAGTTGTTTTAATGATTGTCTAATAGGAGCTAAATGTTCGGGAACCAAATTTAGCTTTTCATAAAGTTCAAGGATACATTGCATGATTCTATAACTTCGGGGACCAAATTGCACAAATCTGAAACTTCAAGGACTAATATGTAATATTTTGAAACCTCAAGGATTAGCTTGCAAAAGTCTAAAAGGTTAAATCTGAAGCCCTATCACCATGCCCAAATTATACAATCCAAAAAAACTAAAGAATCCAAAAGGTGTCTACCAGAGAGGTGGCGCTACATGGTGCCTAGTCTAGACATAAGGAATAATCGTAATGAAAAGGCCTAAGGTTTCTTGAAGAAGTAGACTTACTTTATGAGTGTCTAGTGAACAAGTTAATCACATTTGTGAAGAATATCAATCATCAAAAGAGGAGAAGACTCATTACCGCAAAGAAGAAGGCTTTGCTAGTATAACGAAGTAAAGGATAACCTCCACAGGAGATCTAGGTTGTAGTCAGAGTTTTGGTCTTCACCGGGATGATGGATTCAAATTGCAAAGACTCGTTGGAGATAGGTTTTCATATGGGATCTAGGGTTTCTTGATTTGGGTTCTAGGGCTTGCAATTTGAAACCCAAATTTTCGGCATAACTATCGGATGGGGGACTCTACCTTGGCATCCTTATTTCCTCATAGACATCGCCGGCATCTGCCCTCATTGCCATCCAAACTCAATCTCTACTCACACCAAGGGACAATCTTCATAAAATCACGACACTGCTTTCCCATACGCAATTGGAGTGGATTTCGAAGTTGGAGACATTTGACATGAGGGATAGGACACAAGCATATTTGAGACCCACGCATTAGCAATCCAGGCAGCTGGCAACGGGAAGTCACTGTTATCTTTTTATCATTAGTTGATATTACTATTTCATTTTAAAAATGCATCATTTTGATTCTATGTGTTGATGTAACCCTAAAAACTCTAGCCTTAAACCCAATTTGATTGAAATCATTAACTAAATTGTCTTTTCCATTTTACCCCACTTATAAACAGTTTGGAGAATTTGAGTAGTTATTCGGACCCTTGCATTATTGCTTTACACATCCACATTATTAGCTTACCATTTTTGAACTTACATAATCCCTGATTTTTTTTAAATTAAATTAAAATTTTTAATTGCTATTTTTAATTGCTACCGCTTGTTGTTTATTGATCTCTCCATTGCACTTCATTTAGCTGGTGTCGCATTGCATGTAATTGCGTAATGGTCGTGTTATCACTTCTAGTTCTAGTACCCTGACCATGGACCATTCCCAATTTAATGCTCTCACCCAACCATTAGCACAACTTGCCACTAACCAACAGCAGTTACAGACGCAATTAGCAGTTGTTCAAACTGAGATGGCTGCTACTCGTGAAGAGAATAGAGACATAGCTGCCAAGTTGTACACCTTCGAGCAAACCCCATTTTGACTGAAGCTGAAAACTCTAAAGCGTCCAATAATAAACATTATCGTCATCCACAAGGTGGTCGACTACATGTTAGACGTGACCGTAGGGATGGACATCAAGTTCGTGAACGGGAGTAGGAACATCACCGTCATAATACTCGGTCTCCTGCTCACCACGTAGAGCGGTTCTTTAGAAACATTAAATTGAATCCTCGACCTTTGATGGTTACTTAGACCATAAAGTGTTTACTCAATTGGTTAGAGATATGGATCGCTTCTTTGCCTGGTATGGGTCCTAGAAGACCAGAATGTTCGATTTACTAGTTTCAAATTAAATGGCACCGCTCAACTCTTTTGGAAGAGTGTTGAGATCTTTGAGAGACGACGTGCTTCCCCTGTTGGGAGTTGAGATGAAATGAAGCGTCGACTTCAAGAGAAGTATTTACCTTTATCGTATAGAGGTAATTTATTGGATCAATGGAATGCTCTTATGCAAGGCAATCGACCAGTAACCGAGTACATCACTCAGTTTGATGAATACCGAATGAGATGTCGGTCGTTGAGGATGAAGCCATGACTTTAAGTAGGTTTCGGCAAGGCCTCATAGATGTTCTTAAACATGAGCTTGTCCTTCAGTGTGTTACTACTCTTGACCATGCTTATTCTTTCGTCCGAGACAAACGTCTAGAAGTCGTGGTGACAACCGTGCCCCCATCTCTTCAGCACCCACTCCTTCCCCTAAATCTATCCTAGGGCCTCCCCATCTAGGGTTCCTCTTGTAGGGGAAAAATAAAGGTAAAGGTCCTGAAGTTCCAAGGACGTCATCTCGCTTGCAATGCTTTAACTGTAAGGGTTTCGATCACATTTCCTCTAATTATCCTAGTAGATCCCTCGTTATAGAAGAACGCGAGGGTGTAATGGATGACCCGCTATAGGATCAAGTTTATGAACCTAAGTTTGAAGAGTTTGAGGATTTGGATGATAATGAAGATACATTCTTAGGTTATATTCGGACCCTC